TTTTTATTATTGTCCTTGTTTTTGTCTATTTATGGACCATAATTGTGTCTAAATAAAGAGATTGATTGATTGATTACAGTAAAGTCAGAATTATGAGATTAAATCAGAATTATGAGACTACAGTCAGAATTCTGACTTTTTTCTCAGAATTCTGACTTTTTCCCATTTTAAACTGAAATATGATTCAAAAAATCAGTTAACTTGTTTTTTTCTTTTTTTTTTTTTTCAGTGGCCCTAATCCTCTTCCGTACCACTACACATCCGTTAATAGCCTAGGGTTGTTTTTCTTAAAGACCCGTTATGGGAACCTGTGGGCGGGGCTAAGATAGTGTGAAAGGGGAGGGACTGTTCGGTCACATGATAATACCAGCAGCTATGTGGCTGCGTCCCACACTTCTGTTGGGCTTGGTCGGCAGTAGAGGGTTCGTTAGAAGCATGGTGAGTAGACATAAGGCCTGAAATATTTGTCTTTTTCATGCACTGGGTAAAAAGTGGTGCTTTTAGTAGCTTTAGCGACTAGTTTAGCGCTTTAGACACATGTAGGTCATATGTAGGGCTTTTCTTGTTTGGTTGTGGTGCAGCAGACAAATGGGTCCGACGTTATTACAGCTAGCTTTAGCTAACGCTGCAGTAGCAGCAAAGCTCTCCCACATATAAATGCCACATACTTAGGGCTGTGGTTGAGGTTTTATCTTAGCAATGATATTAAATTATATCTTCCAATAATATGCGTAAAGTCTGCGCATAACGGCAGCGTTACTCTTGATTGTTGTTGCTTAGAGGAAGGGCTTATATAATCCGTTAAAACTGCTTTTATCCTTTTTTAGATGACAAAACAAAACAAAGATCGTCTGTTTATTATTAATACTATATACCAAATAAGACTTTCAGGTGCTGAAGAGCTACACTAAGTGCCAAATGACAGATTTTTCCATTTAATCGCTTTTATCTGCTAATTTCTTGGTTGGATGATAACACAAATGGGCCATAGTGCGGAAATTCAGGAGCGTTGTTAAGGATTATGATTCATCCAATTACTTAATCACACCGCTGCCCTTTCCCCTATATTTTAGACTTCAACCCTCACATATCTTTGTCTTTAGTTATTGCAGGGCCAATGTTCTGTGCCTATGTTAATTCTTTTTTTTTTATGTACCAGTGTGCTCAAGCTCACGACTGGCAAAGTGCTAAGTCCATCTATGAATTTTCTGCCAAGGACATTGATGGGGGTGATGTATCTCTGGAAAAATACAGGTGAAGCATGCATACATAACTTTAAAGTTCTAGTTGAGGATGTTTTTGTTTTTTTTCTCAGGGTGGATCATCTAAATAAGTGGTCCTCCTAGTTGTCAATCATTCTGGTGATATGTTTGCGTAAGGCCGTCCACCGGTGGTGAGATTGACAGTGGAAACATTGCAAATCTTCATTTGGAAAGAAAGCTTGTATGAGCAATGCAAACGGCAACCTTTAAACAGAGCTTGCACGAGGAGAATGAGGTGCTCGTGCACGCTCTCACATGCGTTCAACAGGCTTTCCCTCTCAGGAACTGGTTTGTGCATGTGCTTTTTGTTTTTTAAAGCAGAGAAGGTGGGTCCTTTCAAAAATTCACAAAAATCCTTTTAGTTCAAATACACACATGCCACAATTTCCCATTTCTAAAGATGCTTGAGCATTGCACAGGCTAATTGAGCATGTTCTTTCTTCTATGAATTGATTTCAGTCCATTTTTAAAGAAATAAATTCACAAGAAATTATTTTGAGGATCTACCTCCTCGGGTCGGCCAAAAAAATTGTCCAAAAAGATCAGTGAAATATTTTGGCTGTAATTCTAATAGTACCATCATGTGGGAAAAGCTGATAACATTTTCTTTTCTGTTTGTTTACAGTGTGATAAATTGTTTAAACTGGAAATCAATCACAAATCAAGTGGTTTAGATGGCAAGGGCTACTATTTAGACTTGCAGTAATGTAATGTACCTATTTTGGCTTAAATTTTCCCTTCATGCCTTGACCTCCAGCAAAATTAAATTTAGGTACTGTATTTGCATTTTACAAATCTTCAATGTAAATAAGTCATGGGCTACTTGCCATTCTCAAGTTTATTCCTAAGTTGTTATTTACTTAAAGGGATAGGTGAGTCTATTCTGAATGATTTTGGTCCTCAAATAGTCACAAACTGAAAATTGAAAGATAAATTACTGACAATTTCAAGCCAAAATCCAGCATCTGCTAACCAATTAAATTGGTTGTACAACTATTGAATTGTTACCATATCTGTTGCTCCCCTTTTAGTGTCTCTAAAGAAAAATTAACTTTTCTTTTCGGCGGCTTTGGCACCTAATATATTGGGGTTTAAGAATAGCCGTAATGTTTGATAACTCAGTGCCAGAGGGTTTGGCATAACTGTTTTTAACTTTTTTATTTTTTTTCTCCCAGGGGATATGTTTGCATTATTGTAAATGTTGCCTCTAAATGAGGAAAGACGAAGGTAAACTACACTCAGCTTGCTGAAATGCACGCCAAGTATGCTGAGAAAGGTTTACGCATCCTGGCTTTTCCATGCAACCAGTTTGGAGGACAGGTGATGCATGAGAAACCGATGTTGGGCCATGTCCTCTTTGAAAGGTCTTGCTTTTATTAATTATTTTTCATTGCTGTGTGATATAGGAACCGGGGACAGATGCGGAGATTAAAGAGTTTGCCAAAGGTTACAATGCAGAGTTTGACCTCTTCAGTAAGATTGATGTAAATGGTGACAGCGCTCACCCTCTGTGGAAATGGATGAAAGCACAACCCAAAGGAAAAGGATTTCTTTCAAAGTAAGTCATTTTCTACTTTTTGAGAGGTCAATGTTAAAATCCAAGATGTGCAAAATACCCTTTCACAGAACTCTGCTACTTTAGCCATGTCTAAGTCACTATTTCAGAAAACTTATTGATTGATTGACTTTATTGATCAGCTCAAATAGTCAAAGTAGAAGAAAGTGCCAAAGGAAGAAAAAGGTGCATGGGATATATACAGCTTTTGTGTGTTTTTTTTTTTTTTTTTTAAATACTAGGATTGTTATACAGGATTATTGCACAGGGTGTTTACTTGGGTATTTATATAGATGTGTGTGACTAGTTATTGCTGTAGTAGTGTTGCATTTTAGAGTCCGGTTGTAGCAGGATTAATGACCTGCGGTAGTGTTCCTTTTTGAAAAAAGGGGGCGCAAACGTAACCCTGTTATAGGTGATTCTCTGCTTCATTGTTCTAAATAAGTGGCTTTGAAAAATGTGATACAGATCATTTCAGAAGTTGTAAAATCATGTATACTGAAGCAGGAGAGCTTCTAAAATGTAGATTGGTTTTAAACTGAAGTATAAAGTACTATAGTATAATGTAACACACACAAATACTTATTGTTAATATGCCAGTCTTTAAGAGTCGTGTATGCAATTAGGGTTGCCTATGCTTTACTATAAAAACTGGGATGTAACGCATATGTTTCTCCTCCAATAACAGCAACATCAAGTGGAACTTTACTAAGGTAATTTGAAAAAAAAAATATTGGAAAAGAAGTTTACTTCTAAAAGCTAGTCTTCAACCAAGTGTGCCTAACTCTGAGTGATCTCTCTCCTCTAGTTTCTGATAAATAAGGAAGGGGAGGTGGTGAAGAGATACGGTCCCAATGAGGATCCAAGCGTAAGTTGTTCAGCTGTGTTTACATATTTCTGTTCAAAAGCAAATCTCCCCCATCTAACATTAGACTTGTTACATGATGAATGATAAGAAGCAATAAATGGATCTGTTCATGGCTGACTATTTTTTTGACACTGAAACATATTTCTCTTTGCAGGAGGTGGAGAAGGATTTGCCAACATACATGTAAATCTGCACTGTGCTCCTGTTTCCTCTCAAATGGATTTCGGGGTATTTGTGTGGGTGGATCTGGACCTGTGACGGACCTGTCCGTAAACCCATCCTTGGGGTGGACAGGGCCTGATGACCCAGCGTGCAACTTATTTCCAGAAAAGCCCACTTTATGCCTTGTAAAACCATGTGAGAGGAAAACTATTAAACCAACTGCATCATTTATTACTCTAAAATCAGTCATTCCCTTTTCCAGTGGCAATAGAATCCTGTCTTTTCCTGCCTGTCATTAGTTTTAGGAGAACATAAATGACCTCAATAAATAAGCTTTTGGTCAAGCTACTGATAGCTTAGTTTGCACTTGTTGTCTATGTTCCCTGTTGAGACTCACACTGGTAATTTATGAAATGAGATATAAAAATAATAAAGAAGTTTTGAACTGCATTGTATTTGTTTGATTATTACGTTCAGTCTATGGGTAGATGCGATTTGCAGTGGAGATCAGCTTTTCTAGATGGCTTTGAATGTCTTAACCTTGTTATGGATTTAGGCCAAAACCATCTCAAGTTAAAATGTTTGGCATAGTGCATTTCTTTTGGCTTCAACATGTTTTAATTTGTGAAATGGCTTCTAGCATGACTTTGCTTAAATTGAGGTTTTCAGCTGAGACTGACTAGGCCATTTTGTTCAAATTTTCAGGCTTTTCTATTGTCTTTACTCTGTCACAAGTACAGAGCAACAAAACGAACTCTGCATTTAACCCATCCGTTTGGGGAAGCAGTGGGCCGCAATTGTGCGGCGCCTGGGGAGCAGTGTGGGGTTTGTAGCACAGTGCAGGATTACTGGGATAGTGAGATGACTTCAGCTTTAACCCTGACTTCCCGGTACCACAAAACTGGACCTGCCAACCTGCATAAAGCAGGCTATCTTTCAGAACTGATCTGAATCCAGACAACTCTCCAGCCGGCAGCCAATCAGTTGTTCTGGAATCCACGGGCCTTTTCATCGAAGACCTGATTATAATTCAGAGGGATAAAGGAACCTGAAAACCAAAAAGCAGTTAAAATCTCTTCTTGGCAAATTGACTAGTTTTCTGTTAGTTAATTTTTTGCTGCTCTTTGACTTACCATTTAATATTCTGTATTTGCTTTAAACTGCATATATATATATATATATTTTTAACAATTTGAATAAGTTACCATGCTCTTCTAATAATTTTGGTTGGTAAGCTGGCCTCCTGGAAAGGTTCACCATTGTTCCATCATTGAGTTCTTCATTTCTAGGTAATCACTCTTATTTTACTTTACTGAAGTCCCAAAGCAATGACTTTGTGGATTTGGTCATGACGTGTTGTTCAGGGGCGGAGCTAGTTACAATTTATTTTTCTCTACTGATGGTGACAGCAGTAATACTCTCAAGTAGAATATTCAAAACATTTTAATTTTTCATATATTAACAAATACAATGTGATATGCACATCAATATACTTACATTAAAGATGATAAATACAGAATTTGAGCAGAACTAGATGTTGTGTTTTATGGAGTAAAGAGAAAATTATGTCTGCAAGTCATGTAGAAATTAGTACTTGTAAATATCAATTTTATGCAGAATGATAACTGATAAAAGTAGGTAAGTAATTACAATGGAAAAGATGTTTGCCCAAAATTCAAACCTGAAAGAATTTTATCCACTATACCTTTTATGTGGGAAGAACAGATATTTGAATATATTTGCCTATTTATTAGCAAAGGCTGTGGGAAAATATGGATGTTTTGCCTGTTAATTGTCCTGTTGGAAAAGTGTAGATTGACCATGAGGTCTTGGATATACTTTCGGCCACCCCTCAGTGTTCATTTGTTATTGCCTGGCCACCCTCATAAAGATTTTCTGGTGTTGTTTGGACATGTTTGATCTCAAAACAGGTTTTTAAAGGTATCCGTTGATGACGAATCAGTAATAAGATATTGGTTTGGATGATGAAGTTCATATAGAATAATGCAGCAGGTTCCATAAATTCCTCTATTCGGAAGAAAAAAAAAGTATGCCCCTGTTAGCATCAATAATAGCCGCAAGACCCAAAACCAATGGTGTAAAAAACAGTAAGAAGAAACTGCAGGTGCTTATGGGCACCCTTCACATTTATGGAATAGGAGGTCTGATTGCAGATGTAATGATTTGATAAATTTCTCCTAAACCTAATTTATCGCGTTTAGTTTTGACAGGAACTTATTTATACCCCAACATATGCCAGACTTTAACAGGACGGTGAGCCGTTTAAACACGATACCAATAGCAAAGCAGATAGTGGTACTTTTAATTACTGTGTTAATAACTGTATATTTCATTAGATGGTTGATAAAAAAAAACCGCTCATATATGTTTGAAACCGCAATAAAGATACTAAAAGAACGACGTATCTGAGTATTTTTATCTTTTACACTAGAACTTAGAATTCTGGGTAATCCAGAGTGTTATACTTCATATGGGCCCACCCATATAATGTTGCTTACGGGCCTATTGTTGTGTCGTTACGCCACTGCCCAAAACGTTATCTTTTTATTTAAAAAAAATGTAATTATTATTTAAAAAATAAACGGTCCAGTCCAGCAAATGTAGCTGATGCAGGGAGGAGAATGACGCACAGCAGGCGGAGAGGATCAGCACCGCTGGCTGTGAGCGAAGCAGCCTGCAAAAATAAATAAATAAAATGCAGCGACTGAACACATTGACCGGAGTGATGTCTGTGCAGCTGAACGGGGAAATAAGTAAGATGAGAAGCGCTGCCGTTTAGCCACCGCCGCTCATTCCTGCAGAGGCTGACAGGGTTGCGCATCGGGATATGGACTCAGGGAATGCGGCCACCGGGGATGATGGGAGCCCTACAGGCGCAGGGGCCGCCGGATCCAGCCTGCAGCTTGACTTCGGGGACACCGGTAGGTACTGCAGCCTATGGGTTCCGAAAAATCCAAACCTCACAGCAGGTTTTGGTATATGTAATGTTGGGTTTTGACAGTTTATAAATAGGCTATAGGTGAACACAACGTTTTGAATGTTGAATTCACTGCAGCAGTAATTATAGTGGCTGTGAAAGCTGCATGTTTGGGGATGTTTACGCACAGCCTTTTTGGATGAGCAAAGATAGCTTTATGAGGATGGAGCTGCTTTGCTGTCAACTGTGCACACACTATGCAAGATAAATGGAAATATGACTGCATATGTATTATTTTAATTCTTATAATCTCTGAAATATGTCAATCTGAAGGATAGCACATTTTAAAACAAATCACACTTTAATCATCATTTGATTTGCTGCAAATAAGTGCATGGCTGTGCATTGTTGTTTATTTAGTAAAGCAGATTATAAACACCTGCAGAGGGCTCTTGTGAAAATCAACATCTATGGTTATGTTCAGTGATGCATAAATGTCATAGCTACAGACGGCCATTTCCACAGCTGATAAGAGGCATATTTAATCCTCTTTACTATGACACATACTCAGGCCCTCAGGACACATTTCAAAAGTCCCAAAGTGTGGTATTATAGTGTTATCCTTGGGCTGCCGCTAGTTTATTTTTTGTTTTTGTGCATACATTTTGAAACTGAGTGTTCCACTAGTGGGTCATCATGTTCAACATAAACATGACAGTGATCACTGCATGTTTGCTACCTGCTGCTCAGTGACATTTATTCTGCTCTGACCCTAATCCCACAGAGATTGTTTGTGTTCCTGCGCTACACCCATTGTCCCAGCATTAATCTACAGGTTACAGGTGTTGGCACTCTGATGAATAAAAAAAAAAGTAAAAGGCTTTTTTAGGTAAAGCTGCTTAAAGTGGGCCACTAAAGCAAAGCAAATTAATCCAATAAACACAAATCACCTAATTTTATACCAAATAACCATACTCACATATTTACTTATGCATTTTTATCTTGCCTTTTTAAGTTAAAGTTCTAATTGTTCTTACAAAACCAATATATTACAGTAGAATTTTTTTAAAACTTATTTTGATCAAAATACTTTGGTCATTTTAACAGCTGTTATAACTTGTACTACTTCCCCACACTCCCTACTACACTGTCTCTTTCTGCACTTCGCTCAATGTCTGAACTCTATGTCACCCTGTCACCCCTGACCTACTATGGCTAGACGCCAGTCTGCTAAGTAGCTTATTGTTAGCTTTGATGTGAACTACATTGAGGAATCCATATATAAAGTCCATCGATCCATCTTCTCCCAGTTATTCTGTTAGGGTCAGGTTGGGCTGGTGCTGATCTCTGGCAGTCTGCGGGCGAGAGAAGGCGTACACCCTGGACAGGTCACTAGTCTGTCACAGGACAACACAGAGACAGACAAAGACATGGAACCATGCAGACACACACAAACACACACACACGGGCAATTTAGAGAAGCCATTTAACCTAACAGTCATTTTTTTTGGACTGGAGGATCCGAAGCTGGAGTACCCAGAAAGAATCCATGCATTTACAGAGAGGACATGCAAACTCCTTGCAGAAAGACCCAGGGCTGGGTATCGAATCCAGAACATTCTTGCTGCAAGGCAACAGTGCTACAAACTGTAGTACCATGCAGCCGGGTACATATGAATTAATTTGGGACAAAAATGTGTACCAGATGATTTTGAAAGACATATCTCTTGGATCAACACTAGATTTGGTAAATATACCCAAAATTGTAGGCTTCCCTGAAATTGTTGGCACACTATCTGTGAAAGCTATAGAAAATACAACTATAATTTACGCAACAAATTCAAATTCAGTCTTAAACTTGAGGTCAACATAATTTCAAAGCCAGCACCCAACCAACAAGGAGTTATTCCCTGAAGGACCAAGAAACAGAAGATTAAATGTGATAGACCAGCGCCAAGTAGTGTATTATTGTAAGCCTAAAGGATCATTTAGTTTTAACAAAAAAAGCGAAAACTGTGGGCTGAATTTTTGGTTTGCCGCCTTCAGTTAATACTTCACACAGCTCTGTTTTATAGAGTGATTGCCTCAAAATGGTTGTACAAAAAAAAAAAAAAAAAAGAGGTTAAGCGTTCCATCAGTTATGCCAAGGCGTATTTCATGAGTTTATTTTCTATAATCATTCTGTTGAAGCAGGACTGAAATGCAATGTCTGACTTTCATTTGTCTATTTTCATATGACATTTATTTATTATTACTTTTGTGAGATTCAAGTAAATTCTGTGACATTGTGGTTTTTTCTTGTGTTAAATGAGGGGCATCAACAATTTTGTCCACGTTTGTTTGTTGAATAGTGCTTACATCTAGCTTGCATGCCAAAATCTGCTTGCTAGCTGCAAATCTCTTCTCTTTTGTGTGGTGTCAAACCCACTGTAAACCTACTCAACCGCAACAAGAGGACTGGAATAGAATAAAAAACAATGTGATGTTTACATTGTTAAATGTGACCTGAATACCTCAGTGATTTATGTGTTGTTGTTTTTTTTTGTAACTGTAGGTATATTGTTAATGCAATTAATTAGTCTGCCTTGGTTTGCATTTTAGAATATTTTAACATTATATTCAATTTAAAATCTGGTTGTAGGTAGAATATTGTCCTGTTAGAACCTCCAACCCTTCTTGAAGCTACCAACAGGTTTCTCTTAGGATTTCCCTGTTTGATTTCCTGACCAGTTCCCTGCTGAGGAAAACATTTCCACATCATGATGCTCCAATCACTATGTTTAAATCTGGGCATGGTGTGTTCAGGGTGATTTCTTTGTATAGTCTCAGTTGACCAAATCTTTGTGTTGCAGCGGTTTGCTGAGTCCCTAACATAACTTGTGGAAACTTTACATGAGACATTTCATGGTCTGTCAATGATTTATTGCTTTTGCCATATTTCATCCATGGTCTGATTTGTGGACTTCATGAATTCTAATTGTCCTTTTAACAAAAAGGAAATCTTGGCTGCTTATCTGATTAATGCTGAAAGCTATTATGCTGGTAAAGATTCACAGTCATCCAGATCATAGTCATTCCAAAAAAAGAAAATGAAAACAATCCACTGGACTTTGGATGGGAAGCGAAACGTCTTCAAACTTGGAAAAAAAAAAGTGGATTGTTTTTAATGCTCTTGTTTAGATGGAACACTTTTTCTTTTTTTTTTAGATAATAAAGTTTACTCAACGAGATGCCCAAAGCTTGGGATATGGATTCGGACCTACAGCTGTATAAACACGTTGTATCTTAATTGAATTTATTTAATGCAAACATTTAATTTGTTTAATGACTGTGTTTGTTTCCACTAACCCAAACAAAAAAAAACAAAAAGAAATCAATATAAATTATTTTACATTGCCCTGCTTTAGTGAGGGCTCTATCTTCTGCAGTCTCTGCTGTGTTAACTTTTTGAGGCTTCAATATGTATTAGCCCTGCTCATTAGCAGAACTCATCTTCCTCCTGATTACATATAGCAAACTACAAATTAGCATAAAGGCTATACTCCAAGTAGTCAGAACCATAGCGTGATGTCTATTTCTGATAAACTTCCTCTTCCTGTCTAACAGCCCAACGCATACACAGACAGCATGGGTCTCCCGTGTCTGGTGGAAAGATTCTTTTTAATCCTTAGGAGTGATTGGTTGCTGATGTGATCTGCAGTTCCCAGCCAATGGTAGCTCTCAGATTAGGGAGGAAGTCAATCCAATAGAGTTTTTACCTTGCCTGTACAAATCTACAAATCTCACTGATCCAGATATAGAAAGCAGAAGACCTCAAGGCTGTGAGAGATTTTGCTTCTGGCTCCTTTTGCTCTAGTTTTTTATTTGTTTTCATTTTTATCAGTTTTGCTGGATCATCAAACCTAAACAAAACCTTAACCTGTTGTTGTTGAACTCTTCTTCTGGTGAGTTAAAACACCAATTATTCCGTAGCAAGGGTAACGTAACATTGTTAAATGACCCTTTTGGAGTTAAGGTATTATTTAGAGCGGCTGCTATATGCAACTGCTGGTAAATATCGCTTTTAGGAAATTATAACCTATGGTGGTAAAATTACAGCCACTTGGAAAGCCTGTTGCCCTTCTTTGTGCTTGTACTTTGGTGACATTCATCAACACCACAAGCTTGAATTTAGAGCCGCCATAACACATTAAATAACAAATAACATTAAATAATGCATTGATTTAGACACTTCTTGATCCTCCTCTCCTCTGTGTCTACAGATTCAACCCAGAAAGCTCAAATAACGGAGGTGAGAGGCTACTTCACGCGATACACCTGTCCTTCTCATCTGTCCTTTGGGTTTATTCTACCTACTGTTTTGAGTTGTTTCACAATTCAGCTCAACTTTATGGGGCGTTAGACGTTGTCTTTGTCACAGTTACAATGGCTTTCCCTTGTTTGTTTCTGGTTTCAGATGCCATCCCTGTTTGGTACGGAACCAGCTCGCGAGAAGAAGATTGGCCATAGGAGAGTAGATGCCCATGGAGAGACAACATACAAAAAAGTGAGCTTTTGCTTTATTTAAAATTCTCTTTCCATTCATATTTGTTTTCTGAAATGTGTGAGATTCTCTCCACCTTCAGACCACCTCATCTGCCTTGAGAGGGGCAATCCAGCTGGGGATCGGATACACAGTTGGCAACCTCAGCTCCAAGCCTGAGAGAGATGTCCTCATGCAGGATTTCTATGTGGTGGAGAGCATCTTCTTCCCAAGGTGTGTGTGTGTGTGCTGGGGTGTTGCATAAAATTATATTTGTTGTAACTTTCAAACCATATTAAATATTATATCAGATCTAGTATAATATAAGTCCTAAATGTCTCTTTTAGTGAAGGTAGCAACCTCACTCCGGCTCATCACTACCCGGACTTCAGGTTTAAAACTTACGCCCCCGTGGCTTTCCGCTACTTCAGGGAGCTGTTTGGGATCCGACCAGACGACTACCTGGTAAGGTCTATAACACAGATTATAATCCAAGCAAGTATAAAACACAGATTATGTTATATATTTCCTTACAAGCATTTATATATCTGTGTGTCCTTTTAAAGTGACATGCAACAGTCTTACACTGTGTTTACCGGTAATTTGGATTTTATGTGAAGGGTAAGTTTAATTTATCTGTTCTTTTTTGTTTTTTGCAAAAACATCAACTATTTAAGGTGTTGTACGAATTTTATACAGCCTAAATATAAGTAAAACATATCTTGCTAAAGTACTATTATATATCTAGTTTATCTAAATTGTTTAATTGGCCCAATTTAGTCTTAGTATAAATCCAGCAGTTCTGTGAAAGCCTCAAAGGTTTGTTTGGGAACATTAATTGAATCAAAAATCCTAAAAACCAGTGAGGGAAAGCTTTTAGCACCTTACAGGGCACTGTTTAACCAATCATCTGAAAATAAATATAGTGTGACGCAACAGTATACCTACTGATACATGGCTATCCACCTAAAGTGAAAGGTTGCTAAAAAAGAGCATTAACTAGAGAAGCAGTTATAATGTCAGAGTTAACAGGTGGGAGGATGTTGGCAGGACAAATATTTATTATGAACTCATAACTGGCCTTTATTAAACAGTGTCAGGAAAAAAGATTCATAAAAAGAAATTCTATAACAGGTGAATCTTCACGTCTTGCATGGTGCTTTGTCCTCTTCAAGTCACGTAGACACAATGAACATATGAAAGAAGGTAGATTAACTGGGCCTTGATGCAACACTTATTAGAGTTCACAGGAAGAGATATGCAGCAAAATACAGATGAAGCTCAAAAGAAAACTGGTGAATGGCTGTAAAAGGCTTGAGGATGAAAAAAGGGTTATTTTTCCAGTACAATAGCAGACAATGTATGTGTAGAGTCAAAAGGACAAGGCAAAGGTCCAACTCTTACTTATCTTTAAGAATGATCCAATCAAACACTAGACCTAAATCAGATAGATATTGTTTGCTGAGGGTAATATGAGTGAAATGGGTGAAAAAAACTGAGCAACATAAATTGAAGTAAATTTATTCCAATATTTTGTAGTGAAGTATCAACAGGCACTGTGTTCTTATATTTCTGGATGGTGGTTAATGTTAAACCAGATAAAATCCGCCAAAATGCTCTTTATTTGCACAAAAATACTTAGCTGCAAACGATTATAAGGTAAAAACCTTACTGTATTACACTGAGTGCAGTTTTAGTCTATACTATATTATACAGTAAATAGCTTTGTAGTATCATTTGTAACTATGTGATAGACCTTTTTCGACGTACACGGTGCTTCCTGAGGCAACTGGGAGGTTAAAATCTAAGAAACTGATGACCTTTAAGAGTCCATAGGTGCATGCAAACATTTCCTCATGAAAATCTTCATAGCAGTGTTCTTGCACAAGCCTTTGGGGATCATGGATATCATGGTGAACCGTGGCCATATACATAGTGACAGCCGTACGTTGAAGCATCCGGCCTTGCTAAGGGGATTAACAGAGAAAAGCCTTCCTTTGAGACAGTGGATTCTCCACAACTGACATTTTTGTTTATCTTCTTGCTGTTGCTCTGCCTGTTGAGCAGGAGTTTAATATTTTCTAGTAACTCACAATGAGTACATTTTGCAAACTACATATATCTCAACCTTTGTTTGTTCTTAGCTTAAGTCTCAATGTCCTTTCCAATTAATTCATTTATGGTAAGATTGTTAGAGTAAGCATTGATACTGTATTGCATTTGTTTGTTCGAGGTGTCTGTACTAATGTTACCTTGCATTTTCCACACCAGAACTGGTTTTGATGTGTTGTTCTGCAGCACACAAGTTAGTCACATTTTAATGACTTGACCCAGACTGCATTGCTTGAGATAAACATAGAGGAAAATACTTAATAGACACAAAGGAGGCTGTTGGAACACTAGATATACTGTCCATGGACTGAGAAAACCCGGTCAGGAAAGAAACAGACTGACCAAATGCCTTGTAGTTCAACAGCTTTGTGGTCAGAGGAGACAATTTTGGAAAACACACAATGGCTCCTCCATTTTGGAGAACTAGTACATTGCATAAAGCCTGTTTAATAATTAATGAGGAAGACTTTCTATAGATTCTTTTTTGCTTCTTAAAGCACAAGTTGATGGGCTATATTTGGAAATAGATTGGTTTTTCACTCACAGCAACTTAAAACACATTAAAACTCCATTAGAATTAGAAAATACTGGCCAACAAGACTTCAAGTACAATGAAAATATGTGCACAATGCCTAAAAATCGAGTGCTGGCCATGAGAACAACCAATTTGAACAAATCATATCGTTTTGTCTATAAAGATAAGTTAGGTTTCTTTGCAACAGGAGTTTGTAGATCGTTAAGAATATCTGTGGTTAAGGTGCAACTTCTTAATAGCTTTTTAATAATAGGTTATTAGGAAAGTAAGTGTTAATGTTTTATGTGTGTTTATGATAACATTTAAGGTATTTTTGAATTTGATTGAATGTAAGTGTATATTTTGACCATTGTGTAGATAATTAAAGATAACATAAAGCAAATTTATAAATGGAACAATAAAAACCCACTGAACATGTGCTTTGTTTTATTGTTCCTTCGTTAAATATTTATGTGATACCATGGCTTAAAAATCAGCTGTTTTCTCTATTTATTTAAAACAAAAGCTCCTGACTTTGTAGCGCTATTTTGATTCTTTTGAATAGTAATACAGAAAAGTTACATTGATTGTTACCCCAAAACAAACTGTAGTTGATGTCATTAAATTGAAAATGATAATTTATTCATTTTAAGCAGATAAAACAGTGGTCTTGTGTTTATACTGTATTTTCCCATGATGTAAACCTAAGCGACAGACTTGATAGATCAAATTCTAATCCGTTTTTCCTTTCTCTCTCTCTCTGTCTAGTATTCGCTGTGTAATGAGCCACTGATTGAGCTGAGTAATCCGGGAGCGAGCGGCTCCATATTCTATGTGACCAGTGATGACGAGTTTATCATCAAAACTGTCCTGCACAAGGAAGCTGAATTTCTGCAGAAATTACTCCCTGGATATTATATGGTAAGAAAATAGTAGTTCTCTTGAAACATTTTCTGAATGGGATTCTGAAATTTATCTTTAGATTCAGTGCCATAAACAATCATTTGACCCCTTACATATTTATTTTCTTTCCACTTCTTTGTCCCAATTACATGTTCTATATTATCAAAGCAATTTAAATCAGACAGACATATCAGTAGGAAAAGGTTTTCCAAGCCACCTGCACATTGGTAAAAATGACCCCTCTCGATTGATTTATAAATGAAATAATGAACTACTGTATATCTTCTGCAGGCCGTAATGCTAACCTGCCTGACTGGTAGGAAAAAAGATGAAATAGAGTCTGCTTGACAACATGAAGTAGGTTAAAAATTAACATACCAGAACTCTACCAATAGTTACATTATTACTCATCCAGGAAGTCATAGAAGAAACCACAACAACATGTGAAGCAACTTCTAAAAGATCCAAAAGAGTTTTTGAAAAAAGTCTCTTTAGACTGATGAAACAAAAGGGGAACTTAGGGTCAAACATAGTAGTAGTAGTTTGAAGGTCGAGGCCTACTTTGCTGCTTCAGAACATATGAATTCATCTCTTTGAAGAGAAGTGGGATCCTATCTAATCATAATCTTAATTTTAACCAAGAATTGCAATAGCCAAGTCTAAATGACTAAAAAACGTAAATAAAGGTTTTGGAGAGTCCTAGTCAAAGTCTGACCTTTAAAACTGTAAAATGTTCTTATATAAGCTACGTATTTGGGCTAAAATAACTCAGATCCAGCAGAATTAAAATACAATTGCGACAAAATTCCTTCAATATAACTCACTGCCAGTTATCACAAAAGCATGAAAGCAGTCGATGCCAAAGGTGACAGAACCAATTTCACATAGAGCTCTGTGGGTGTAGCTTTTTCTCCCTTGATTAATTTGTTTATCACCATTTATAAAGTGCAGTTTGAGTTAATTGCGAATATGTTTGTCTGATATTTCAGTTTGTTTATTGATCCATAAAAATAGAGTGGGATGAAATATTTGCTTATTAAACTAAGCAGATATTTTTTCATGTCACTCGAAATGTAGCATTTATAATTTCTACAGTAGCTGCCCATAGACCATGGGCTGTTTGTGTACAATCCTCATACTTAAGTGGAGAATCTTCTAGTCCAGTTGATCCTCTTTATCCACCCCCGGTGCTGGCTCTCAGTCAGGTGTGACATCAGTAGGTGACTTTGTGATAGGTTAAAGCTCACATACATGCTCAGTTCTCAGGAGATAAGCATGCACTCAGGCCTGTGCTGTGGTCTGATGGAGTCACACTCTTTGGCAGGTGCAAACGCCAGCGGGACAAAAGCCAATTACCACTAATATGCTCTGTTTCCTTTTTCTGTCTATTTTTTTTAACCCTTCTTCCAGAACTTGAACCAGAACCCTCGCACATTGCTGCCCAAGTTCTTTGGCCTCTACTGCATCCAGTGTGGAGGCAAGAACATTCGAATAATTGTGATGAACAATATATTGCCACGCTCGGTTTGCATGCACCTCAAGTTTGACCTAAAGGGCTCGACGTACAAGAGGCAAGCATCCAAGAAGGAAAGAGAAAAGTCCAAACCCACATTTAAAGATCTGGATTTTTTGTGTGACATTCCTGAGGGCCTCACGCTGGATCAGGAAACGTACAACGCTTTGGTCAAAACTTTGCAAAGAGACTGCCTGGTGAGAAAGAAAGCAAAGGGAGGGAGGGTACATAATAAATACTGTAAAGGAGAAGAAAATACAGAATGACTAATACAGAAACTTACATTTAACCTCTTGCAAAACATTTAATTTATGTTGTAAGAAAACATGTCTGATCACACCTTATTTTACTGTAGGTTCTGGAGAGCTTTAAAATTATGGATTACAGTTTGCTGCTTGGCATCCATAACAAAAGCCTAGCAGAGAAACAAAATCAGTCCCAGGGATCACCAGCAGGAGGCGGTGATGAGAAGAAGCCCTCAGGACAGAGGGCTCTGTATTCCACTGCTATAGAGTCCATACAAGGAGGGACCACATGCAGGGAAACCCTGGAACATGATGACACGTAAGCTCCTATTTCATAACATTCATAGTAATATTCTTACTGTATTTAAACCTGGTGGCAATTTGTTTTTCCTGTCTAGTATGGGAGGTATTCCAGCTATGGGAAGTAAGGGAGAGCGCCTCCTTCTGTTCATTGGGATTATTGACATTCTGCAGTCCTACAGGTATGGAAACCAGCACATCTGTTGTATTTTAATCACATAAAGAGTTGACTAGAATCATATTTTGCACCGTTTTTCTTTCTTCTTTAGAATAGAGACAAAACATACTAGTTTAAAAGTGCAAGTTTAAATAAGTTAATTAGTTGTGTCTAAAGTCAGTTTTCAAGTGACAGTGGCTTTTGTGTTTTACTTTATTCATTTCACACTAAATCCAATTAACGCCTTATTAGGCTTCTGAACATAATAATAATAATAATAAGAAGAAGAATAAAAGATAGTGGTAATTAAAGAATGATTTTTTGACATCCTGATTTCCCCTTAAACTGTCACTGAATCTTCATACTGGGGTGCAGTATGCAGTTTGAGTTTAAGGTCTCTTTCATTATATTTTCATTTATGGTTAGAAAATATATATAACCACAGTGGGTTTAACCAGAGAAATACATCTGAATGTCAATAAATAAATAAACATTTGATATAATAAATAAACATTTGATATATGAGTGAATAAGGTAGAAAAAAAGAAACTACCCAAAATGCTCATGATTGTTTCTAATACTCTTAAGCTAAATCCAGTGCAACCAGGTGCCTTTAAAAGTCACCTCTGCATGGCATCTAATCCCATCTAATCTCAGAATAAATCCAGTTGTTCTATAAAGGCTTTATGGATAAGACCATTTATGAACAAAGAATTTGCAAATTAAAAAGCACAACAAAGAGGTCAGGATAAAGTTGTGGGAAAGCTTAAAGGAGGACTTGAAACTAAATCCTCATTTCGTCTATCTTGCTGTCAACATAATCAAAAAACAGAGAGAGTCTGGCTCAACAAACCAGGAAAGTTAGCCAGCTAAATCGACAGGCCACAAGATCAGAACCTGAGCGTGAGAGACCCTTAGAAAATTTTTTTTTGTATAGCTATCAGATCTCTACTTGGTAAATCTCTGTTTTATTTATGTAACAAAGATTAATGAAAGAAAGGAATATAAATAATTTAGTAGTCCACCACAAGTCAGGAGGAGGAAAACCTTTGGAAATGGATGCGTTCAGATGGAATTGAAATTTAGGCTTAAACAAAGAGCCAGGGTTGCAAGGTACATTAAGGTGTTAGAATGTCCTCCTTAAAAAAAGACCTAAATACCATTAAAAATGTGCTTAAAGACTTTAAATTGTATGTTAATATATGCTCTGTACCAAATCTGACCCAACATGAGCTCTATTGCAAAGAGGAAATGGGCAAAACTGTGATGTCCTAGAAGTTGGTGTAGACATAACCCAAAAGACTGGAAGATGTAACTGCAGCAACAGAAGGTTCTTTAGAGTTCTGACTAATAGAACTCTATCAGAATACAAATGGCTGATAGATTTTTAGCACTTCTATTTGTAAAAAAAAAAAAAAAAAGAATTTAATGTTGTAAAACTTCTTTTAACAATAAAGTATCTGGATGCAACATGTCACTGTGTTTTTTATCATTTGATTTGAATATTACTTTAATAAATACTGCAAGGAAATGGAAGGGAATAAATAATAACCCATTCTTTAACTAGTTTAAAATGAGCATCAATGCTTCTGTGTAAGTCTATAATTAAATGTAATTGTCTTTTCTGACAGATTGATTAAAAAACTGGAACACTCTTGGAAGTCTCTGATCCACGATGGAGTAAGTTGCTTTCATGTGGCTGCTTTAATTCACCGATCAACATGAAGCTATATATTTGTACAAACTAATTAACTGTGTTCTTTCCATTGTCATTGTTTTTGGGAAGCTGTAATTAACTATAAACACTGGTTGTCTTTTACAAACAGGACACAGTATCCGTCCACAGGCCTAGCTTTTATGCAGAGAGGTTCTTTAAGTTCTGTAGCACAGTTGTCTTCAGGAAAAGCTGCTGTGAGTTCCATAATTCAGATTATTTCTCCTTCATTTTTTTTATTACTGATATAAGTATTTAATATTCCAGCAATGTTTCGAGGTAAATTACGTCCTTCTTTTCCAGCATTACGACCATCTCCATCTAAGAGAGGCCGAGGGGCTCTCTCCTCATCCAAGTACAGTGCTGGAGCTGGACAGCGTCCCTCACTCACTGAAGAAAGGCAGGAGAACCTGGAGAACTTGGAGAACCTGAGAGGAATCCGCAGCTTCTCTATAGTAGAGGAGAACGGTATGTTATCCTACAGACTCATCCAATTCTGAATAGGAGCTTTGATGTAAATTGCAGTAAAGCAGCAATACTTAAATGTTACCCATAACTTTTGTTTTTCACTCTAATTTGATTACCTGAACACATCTATTTCTCGCCTTTGAATACTTTTAACCCCAAAGGTTTACTGTTGAGTATTCAGCTGAAATAACTTTTTAACATATCTGTGATGTAGAAATAACCGAAAAGGCTAACCAAAATGCCTGATTCATTTCAAAATCAGTGTTAACTGGCATAGCTGTCTTCTTCTTCTCTGACTCACGCTGATACACTAAGATGAAAGGAAATTGCTTAAGATGTTCAGGAAAAGCACATTTTAAGCATATAAAACATGGAACACCAGTATTGCTGTCCAGAGAGCTATACTCCAAAATCATCATCTTAAGGCTTAGCAATTGACGAGCTAAATTTATGCAGAAATCTTACAGTGTACGGTCAGATGAGGTTAAGGTTTATGTGTTTGCCTACAGTGACCAAACGTATGTTGGGATGAGTCCATGTAACAAACGTTGCACCACTAAAAGAGAAGTGGTGCAACGTGGGGGCACGGTGGGGGCAGAATCATGATCGGTGCCTCTTTTATCTACTGCTCTATTGGAGAACTTCCTCCAGATTTCTTTTTTTTTTTTTATTATTTCATCTCATATCAACAACTAGATGCTTGCAACACAAGTGATTGTTCAAACTGGAAAATTATCCTCAACAAACATTGAAACTACATTGAGATTTAATAAAGCTGGTTTACTTTATGCTTCCAGTCAGAACTGTATATAAAACGTGTGTACAGTTTTACTGTTGGAACCAAAAGGTGTAGAAATATATGATTTTAATATTGTAAATTTGCTGCATTTAGGCAAAGAGCCACCCTGCACCCCCCCATCATTGGAAGATGCAACGACTGCATCTATTGCAACCACTCTGTCATCTGACAACTCTTTACCAACCACCCCGTTCGACACTCCAGAGCATCCGCGCTTCAGAAGGCCAATGCATTCACCCAACATAGTCAGGTCAGAAATATTTGGTTTACATGTCATTAGTTGCATCATGTGAGACCAATTCATTGTTAATGTGCAATCTTACCGTGTGTTCCCTTTTGTCCTAAAAAGATCCCAAAAAGAGCCACTTGCTGCCCACAGTGAACGTCAGGACACCATAACTGTGGAGGTGGAGCTCAGGTATGTGCATAACCAAAAAAATCACAGTAAAATGTCCCAATTTTTTGTTTGCAGTATTTGATTTGTTTGTGTGTTCTCATACAGCAAGATCCCACAGAGCACGGAGCTCACACAGAGGACAGGAATCACGTCTTCCAGCCAACAATCACTCAGCCATCAGACCTGCACAGTTTCTTCATCCACCCCCAGTTCTACTTGTTCGTCCTCTGCATATTCCTCCGCCACCCTTCCTCCGTCCTTTGCGTCATCCTCCTCCTCTGCTCAATGTGTTGCCCAGTCATCTGCTACACTTTCTTCATCCATCCGTCCGTCTACCAAACCACTCACCTCTTCGTTAGCAGCTCAGTCTTTAACTCTTTCCTCCACAACCTCTGATTCAGCTGCACAATCTCTTCAGCATGCTGGGTTGTCTTCGAATTCCTCCAGCCACACTCCTGCCTCAGCTTTCACTCCCATTCACCCCGCATCTGCTAGCCCCTCTCAGCATCTTCCATCAACACCTCCCTCCTCTGTCCCCTCAACCCCCCAGTTGCCTCAGGAAGCACCGTCGAAAAAGGAACCTTCGGTGTCCAGCAGCCACAGTTCGCTGGATGCGGAGGTGCAGGTTTCTGACATTTACTTTGTAAGTTTCTATCCCAGTTCTTTCTGTTTTTTAAACAATTCAGGAAGTAAAATGAACCAAAATCAAATGAGAGGTCATGATCACATATTGTTCTAAATCAGTCGAGGCCAGGTAGGGAAGATAACTTGGTTTATGTATGATCTACTGGATCTTTTGCAGTGCTCCAGTCAGGATAGCGTGGTAGAGTTATGATGGTGAGAAGTTCTCTGTCTGCACGCACTATGGGAGCTGTCCTTTCTGCTTTTAACTTTTATTTTCAAATAAAAGCATTTGCCTGCTTCTAACTTAAGAATAAGCTGCTCAGCATGAAAGTCTTTCCATCAATCTGCATTTATTCCTTCAGTCATTTTCACTGTCTTGTCTCGGTCTGAGTTATTTTATACTCCTCCTCTTTTTTTCTGTGTAACCGTCTAACCATTTCATATACCTCATTTGTTCATCTGTGTGTCCAACCATCAGTATGCAGACGGAAGATACTGGGTGTACTCTCCAGTTCTCGGTCGTCGTAAGCTTAACTCTAGTTCAAGTTACAACGTAAGTCGCAAGCTAGGTAGCTATAGCAGCCCTAAAGAGGGGAAGATATAGCATTGCTGCTCCCCATTTGAGAGGGATCGTTTTCATATTCATTGTTATGATTCTGCAGGAAATGTGGCAGAAACAAATTTTTTTGTCATGCATTATTTGCTGCTGATGGCTGCAGAAAAATGCATCTATCAGCCTTTCAATTTCCACCATCAGCAGTAAAGAATGGATGATGCATAATGTAAAATATATCCACAGTAGGTGTAGTTGGTTAATATCACCATAAATCGACTTATAGACACCCCTTAATGCATTGGCTTTGTAACTTAGAAGCTGGGATCTTTCCTTTTCTTTTGGTTTTAACTCTAATTAATAAAGTTGCACTGTGTACATATTAAAGTCAATAAAATGATTAGGGTTATAAAATGGTGAAAAGCTGTTAAAAAAAATTTTCAGGATTTTTTAAGGCCTTTTATAGACAGTTAACCTCCAGTAGATAATTATTTCGATGTCTTCATTTTTACACATTCTTTGGTCATTGGTGCTCAGACCAACCAGCAATCCAAATCAAAAGTGTTCCTCATCTAAAACTTTCTTTAAAAAAACTCAAAAAATCTCAAAACCAACAGACATTTATGGCAATATGAATTTATGAACCTTTTTAACATCTTTATCTTTGCTGTTTAAACAAAATGTAATCATTATTTAAATCGCAAATTAAGGTTGAATGTGATGTAGGCTACAACTAGTGATATTATGAGAAAAAATAATATAGAGCATTTCTCATAAGAGTAAATGCTAAATATAAAAGTGAAGCAATGTAAAAAAAAAAAAACATCTGATAACAATTTAACATAAGAATATTTTCATAGATTTTGACACTTTTAAAATAGACTTATTTTGATTAGAAATGCTTCACATCCTCTTTCCTGGTATGCAGATGTGTATCATACAGAGACATCACTGGGGCTACACTATTTTATACTTCCATTTCCTGTGTGAATAATCTTTGGCATCTGCCCGAAAGTTCTACCTAATGAAAATTGAAGATAAACTATATTTCAAAGTTGATTATGTAACATTTGCCTAATCCATATTCACTTTTTTATGCGAGTTATTTTTGAATTCTGCTTTAGTCATTTCCCCTGTTAGAATAGCCTCCAGCTTCAGCTTCTGGGGCCAGTTCATTTTGTTTCTCCTGGAAAAAGACTATTTTACTTTTAGCAGAGGATGCCTTAAAAAAATCCTGAGCCATTCCTTAAACTTTTAAAATATACTAAACTACTTTAAGAGGACAAATCTACTTGGATTTCAAATTAACATGAAGTGGAATAACTATTTTGGACCTAGCTTACACACAAGCACAGTGCAGCTTTATTGGATTATATGTATACAATGTGTTTTTTTCTCATACCTTTCCCTAAAACTCACCTTTTCTTTTTTCTTGTTTTTCTGCCTCCTGCTGGATATTTTTATAACCACAGACTCAGGAGGACCAGAGCTGTGTTTTCTCACCTTTTCACTGCAGCTCAGAGTCCAGAAGAGGCTCAGATGTGGATAGTGAAACAGTAAGTCAACAGTCCATTCATGATTCCCAGTAATCTCTAAAAATACCAGAGGAAATGATTTATGTATTCCCTTTCTCTCTCCTCTATCTGATATTAATCATCTCTATTCCTCCTTCAGTAATTTCAGTCGAAGACACTAACGGTGGGCGGAGCCAGAGGCTTTCTCCACACACACAAAAGCTGGGAGGATTTAATGATAAAGGCAGCGGGACGCTGATGATTTACTGCTGGCTGCTGAAGCTGCATGTAGGAGTCTGCTTTGCTTACAGTAAATCTTATCATCAGACATTCAGCTGAAAGAGTGCAGCTTTGCATTATGCATTAAAAAAACTATGTACAGGGAGATTTACTGCTAAAATGGTGGAAGACTATATTATAGCCTCACAGGACAATTTGTCCAAAAACAAAGAGGGGAAATATAAATCCTGAGGTATAATCAGCTTAGTGGCACTGTGAACGATTTTGGTGTTTGTGTTAAAACTCTGTCTTGTAATATGATGTATGATGAGATATAATATGATAATCATGCTCAAGAATCAAACTGATTTTACTCCAGTAACATAAACAAAGTGTCGTAGATTTGAATTGAAACCAAATCTTTCTCAAAAGACCAGAAATCTGTGCATGCAGATTGTTTGCAGGGAGAGCAGCCTAAGCAAGGTAGTTCAAACATTCCTTTCTCTAACTCTGCCTATGCAATATGTGTTATCGATTCCTCCTATTGACTCACTTGTAATTAGCCCGGACTTCTTTGTGCATCTGCTTTTCACTAGAAGGGAGTCTTCTCTGTTTAATTTGATTTTAGCACTTTAACTGTGTATATGGTTGATTTAAAAAAACAAAACAAAGAAAACTCAGAAATAGTGTATAGCCTTTGCATACACAGCAGTCTTACTCTTCCAGTGATGAGTAGTAAAAAAAAAGACCTGAAAGCAAAAGGTTTTGCTTAAAATGCCTTATCAATTAACTCATTAGGGCTTTTTTTCAGATGAAGTCATGGAAAATTATGACAGAAGAATTTAAATATGGAAAAAATATATATTAATGTAAGTAAAAAAACAAATATTACTAGCAGGGTTGAGATAAGATAGAGAAAAAAATGAAATATTGAGTCAAAAATATCTTTTGTAAGTCATCTGTTTTTTATGTGCTGCAGTACATGCATGTAGGTGTGTACATGCTACTTGTGTTGTGTCTGCATGTGTTTGCATGTCTACAATGTATGACTGGGAGACGCATATGTTATATTTTTCTGTGTTGAAATTGTCAAAAGGTATTTGTAAGAAGTCATTAAACGCAGCAGCATCTCATCAGATTAGAAAATCAGCAGGAAGTCAAGATATTTCAGAAAACAATTCAAAAAGTGAACAGATTGAGTGCAATCAAATGATTCATTTTGAATGTTTAGATTTGTTAACTTTAATAAATATATAACCCAATAAGATTTATTGTTTCAGTTTTAGAACCCATCATTTAGAACCCATAAAAAAATATCTGCATTGAAAAACAGTTATGAAAATGCTGCTCACACAGCTGACCAGCTTTAACGTAAACCACATTCGTTCATTGCTAAAGAATATTATTCTATGTTTTTAGCGCAATTCTTCCAATAAAGATGCGTGTGGCTCTTGGTTCAGAAGCATCCAAGTTCGACTCGCTGTCAAACTTTCTTTCCTCTTGTTCAAGACGCTTTATTTTCCAAAAAGCAAACAGAATTTCTTACCACAGTATGACAGGCAGATCATATCGGCTCATTTTGTTCCTTTTTATGCCACTCCAAAAAAAATTTATAGCGGTTAAAAACTGTATGGCTGCGTGCCTGAATCCAAGAGCTCACCTGGCCCCAATAGCTAACTTCTATATATTCCAGGTGCTGCAGTCATCTGTCTATAATGAAGCAGCGGAGGCAAGAAACAGCGTAAATTATGCACAGAAGCAAAAAAACAACTAAAGAGATTAATTATTTCATAATTAAGTCGGCTCATACTCCAAAACAAAATATTTCATGTTCATATATGTCATATTAAATCAGATAAAAATAGTAAACTAGAAATAATAAATATTTAATCAGAAATCAAGCATTTGGCTCCAACAATGTTAATTGAAGATTAAGTGGAAGGAAAAACATAAGAAAAGAGAATTTCGTCTTTCCGTAGTTGTAGTCTATCCCGCAATCCTTGCAGGATTACTGGAGGGTTGGTCTTTCTAAAGAGGGCATTAAGTAAAAGGTGGGATCCAACCCACAAGTTCTTGGATTGACTGGTGAACTTTCTCCTTGATAGGTCATCAGTTCAGCCAATAACACACCAGATGAATAACCATACATTTGAATACCTAATGGCATTTTACAGACTGCTTACTTTCATTACCATTGAAGACTTAATAGAAATACATTGCATCAAATTGTATGTTTAAAATGTGTTTTACTTATTGAATTGAACTACTGCCATTGAATATTTTAAATTCCAATTCACTGAGATTCCTTTGCATATTAATTACCTGTTTTCATCCTCTGACTGTATGAAAAACAGTACTGCTGAGTCAGTGTTTAATGAAGTACGATACATTATAATGTTTGCAGAACTGAAAGATTTCCAGTTTTCTGGACACTTAACATTGCAATACATCCTCTTTGAACCTTTTAAAACATCAAGAGGAGAATTAGTCCCTGCCAGAGTTGCTTTTGTACTGTATTGTTTGAGACAGCTCATGTAAACTCGCCTGTTTGTGGGCGACAGTGTTTGTAGATTATCACTGTGAGAAAAAGAAATAAAATACTGTTGTGTAAATATTGCTGGTTAGTTTCTAATACGTTAAACCATCTGTCATGTTCTTCTCTTTTAGTCCACCAGATGGCACTGCAGTGCCTAAAAAGAAACAGATCTCAGAGTTGCTGCATCTTGATTGTTATACATCAACACACTGCTTTGTTATCTAAAATTGACCTCTCTTTGTTACATTGAGAATCACATCTCACTGTCTTGTGCTCTAAATTAAAAGACATCAGCGGGGCCTGTTTCTCTTTGTGATCCCGATGGACTGTAAAAATGAGGCCAATATTTAAAGCCATGTTCCACCGCCCTCCTTATAACTGACAGGTTAATGCACATAAACATAATGATATGAAATCTTTATTGCTTCAGTGAGTATGGCTTGTTTGCTTTATGGACAAAGGCTGTAATGCCTACTAATAAGATGACAGATGGTAAAAAAGATTCAATCATCCTTTCACACCAGCCAACTTATTTATGTTTTACCTGCAGTACATTGCTGGCTTTGTACATCTTTTCACATTTTTTTCACGTGGCCACCATCTTCAACGGAAATTCTTTAGATATCTAAAAAGTTTGTCAATCTTTCTGAGACACTTTTATAAATCCAGTTTTCAATTCCACTTAGAACTTTTTGTTTATATCAGCTTTGAACATTTGGACAGTTTTTTCCAATTTCCATGAACTTAAACTCTGTCAAATAGTGAAAAATCTATCTTCAAATTCCTACCAACATTTTTAATTAGATTTAGATCTATGCCATTTAGCTATACGTCTAGGGAAAAGTAAAGTAAACCTTCACCACAGCTTTACTGCCTTATGCAGATTTTCCTCCTGCTGCCCCTGCTGTAGAGAAGCACATCCACTGCATGATGCAGCTACCTTAGTCTCTCACTGAGGGCACTGTTTGTTCAGGGTGTTTTTTTTTTTAACCACACATTCCATTTCGCATTCAGGACAATGTCTCATCATCTGACCTTCCTTCATACGTTTTCTGCCTTCCCCTTATGGCAAACTGTTGAGGGAAATTATTTAGTTTTCTTTCAGCAATTTAAAGGGTCTAACCACTTCTACTTAATTCTACTGAGTGCATAAAAAATAAATGTTCTCTCAAGAAATTTCTCGCACTAAGTTTTTGATTCCTGCTACTCCTTCGGATTTACCCTGGGTCACCCAACTGAAACCCTGAATATCTATTTTGCCCAGTATGTAAGGTTTGGGTGAATGTCTGTGTTTTGGTGGGTCGGCAGTTGTTCCAACATTTTTTTATTTTTAGCTGCTGGATTGAACATTCTCTGTCAGGTATCCAAAGTATTGGACGCTAATATGTAACCTAACTGTACTCTAAATTCCTCCAAGACCTGTTTGCTGTATTCCCCGGTCTTCAAAATGCTGTTTGTTAACTAAGGTTTATTAAGCAAAGCTTTGCAGCTGCTGCAGAACAGCTAGGTTAATACTGAGGTTACATTACTCACAGGTGGTTTCTATTTGCCAAGTAGTCAAATTTAAGAGAGAATTGTTGAAATTGATTTATTTTAAGAGTAAAAAGGGGTATGTGTGACACCGAAGAATTTACAGTAGCCTAGCTGTAGCCTCTCTTCCATTTTGTTTTCATTCATCTTCTTTGTGTCACATTTGACCAACTGATGCTAAATGTTACTGAGAACTGTGTTTTTAATGCAAAACATAAATAGATAAATGACAATAAAAATAATAATAATAATGTGGTGTTTTAATACTTTTGTAAGAAACTTCATATTCCAGTAATTTGCAAACCTATATAAAAATGTGCCAGACTTGGACATTTAAAACAAAATCAGTGTTACAGAAAACATCAATTTAATAGTTATGATTAGCAGCCTTTTATTATTGCCTGTTTTAAGGTAATGTTAATGGTTATGTTATATGTGGTATTTTCTCACACCCTGTATTTTTTTTGCTGTGCTATTTTAGTCCATTTAAAACAGCTTTATGTTTTAAAGGCCCATTTTGGGATGGGCATTGCAAAGTGCTTATTGTTATAAATGTTCAGGTGTTCAGCTTTTGTTTCCCCATAGAAAATAGAAAATAAAGAACAAACGTCCGACTGTGTGTACTTGATGTGTAAGCTGGAGTTGTGAATGTCAGTCATGGTGACAAGTCAGCCCTGTCTGGCCATGATGGAATGTGTGATGGACAAGGATCAGCAACCACCTGCGCAACTGGTCTGGAAGGAAATCGTCCTTCTACACACACCCAGACCCATACAAGCACTTAATCCTTTTTTCCTCTCTGCCTGTTCAATCACCTCTCAGATACCTGTCAGCAGGGGTTCCAGTAAAACGTCTAAAAACTGAGCAGTGAGATGAAACCATAAATTAGGCTACCTTAAATTTAATAAGAAGGTCATTTCTGTTTTCCTGAAAGGTTCCTCAGTTGTTGTTGTTGTTTTAAATGAAACAATCATCTGTTTGCACAACTCAAAATGGTACCGTTAAAAAACTATAATAAACTATAATAAAAGCTGTTTTAATTAGCAAAAGTCACACAAAGACATTGTCCCAAAGCCAGACCAACTAAAACACAGGAAGGAATATTTTGCTTATGAAATTATTCCTTATGAGGACAGTTTGGGATTGGTTTAAAGACATGTTGGGTGTAAAAAGTTATTATCAGGTAATATTTTACCTCCAGTATTAACTGTTTTGGTGTCTTCAAATATAGCTTAGAGATGGACAGAAAGCAAAGTTGGCTCTGACCACCTTTCAGGAAGAGAAATCTCAGATATGGCTCAGTAGTTTATGCAGAGGCCATTTTATGACAAGTACAAATATAAAACCATTGGTAACCATCAGCACTTTGTAATTCTTATTTAAAATTAAACACATAAGAAAAAGGATAAAGACTGGTAAGGTCGGTTCATTCCTTTTCTTCCTTGGCTTGTTGACAAAATTGAAGAAAACACATAAGATGGAGATTTTTCTTTGATCTGAAGAGGTCTCTCTTTTAATATCATGTTTGTGAACATGTTTAGTGGATACGTCATGTGTACTGGCCCCTTGCCCCTATCCGGCTAAGGATGTTTCAGCTCATGGTTTAAATTGAACAGTCAAAGGCAACCCAAAAAAAAAAGTTTTTAGTCTTGATTTTAACCCATTTAGGGTTTTTTGCATTAAAAATCCTCTGGGAATTTGTTCCAGACAAGTGAGGCATAGGAACAAAATGCTGCTTAACTTGTGTTGTTTTTTTAAAAATATATATCCTAAGTATGCGGAGCAGGTAGATACTAATTAGAAGGGGCCACAAGATAGAACCTTATATAACTCTGAATGGGATGTTTGATGTAAAGACCAAAACAGTCTGTCTTTTAAGTAGGACTTCAACTAGTCCAGTGCTGTACCAGAGAGGTTGACCTAAATGTCAACACAACATGAGCTTTCTAGTAAAATATACCATGTTGACCGTACTTTTTTTGTTGAAGTGTTTCATGATCTAAATGATTTATGTTGTTTAGTGTAAAAATACAAAAACAATTTACTGTTTATCTGCATTCAGTACAAATTGATTTAACCCATGAAGAAAAAATCTTTGAAATGAGGGTGCAAAAGTAGCCATCAGACCTTTATGTTGCCTTCACTTGAGGTCCCTCTGGTTATCTGCCTAAACCCAATTTCACGCATGTCAGTTAAACCGGAGACAGGATAAATACCTTTCTTTGTCAGCTCTCCTTTGCTCCTCCTCTACATGCTCCCATCAGCACATCCGACACCTGCGATTCTGAATGGGAATAATAGGCTTCTGATTATCATGATGTCTTCTCCAAAACAAGATGACAAATGAACCTAATAAATCACCTTCAAATTGAAAACATTATATGTTATATTAATGAATGAATAAATAAATAAGTAAATAAATAAATAAATTAAAGAAGCAGCACCTGTACCAAAGGTGAATGGGTCATCTCAAAGCTGAGCTTTCATCTGCAGGGAACATAGACAAATGCCTTTGTTCCTTCAAAGAGAAGAGGGGCGAAAGCCACAACAAACAGGGTGAGTGTGCACCGTGTGTGGGTGTGTGCATGCGTCTGCACGTGAAAAGGAAGGAAAGCGAAGTTGATGGAGAGAGAAAGAGAAAGAGAGAATGCAGAGACAGATCAAAGCAGGGGGTATGTTTTTGAAACCCTGTGTGGGAGGTGAAGCCTCACCTACCCAGAATGCCTTGCCTCACTCCTTCCAGCCCACTCAGGTTTTTAGGAGCATCACTTCTCCTTTCCAGCCTTTGCAGCACGTTGTGCCACCTCTTCATCAGTCATCTCCAGCTATTCTCAGTGAGTCTTGAAACAGTGATTTGCTGCGAACCAGCACTCATTGTCTGATCTGAACTATGAAACCTGGAGCTTAGAAAAATACTTCTTATATTTCAATCTCAGAAGCTTTCAGTGCATTTTAGACATTGTAAAGAAAAAAAAAAGAAAACTCACAGAACATTTCTTTGTTACAGGCTTTCTAAGTGGATCAGAGCCCATCCCCCGTTTCCCACTATCAGGAATCGAAACATCTCTTTTTAACTCAGCATCAGGGGTTGCAACCAGATGTGAGTCTGTCCACACAGAGAGGATGTCATGCCCTCTCTGAAGCATAAAAAAAGCTGTAAAAGACTCTCCATAGCGTTGTCAGTGTCTTAAGGCAGTGTTTATCTTTGGCAGGCTAGAGAAAACAAAGCCATCGATTTCTAATCCTAATCCCCTTCTACTGCTTCTCCCCTATTGATCATCTATCCTTCTTTAATTAGATGGAGGAGGAAAGGATACTGAGATGTAGGGCTGATGAAGGACGAAACTTTCCTCCACAAAGTGTGCCTATCTTTTTGCTTTAATCCATTTTGTACTGTCTCTCAATCAGCCTTCACTAAGTTAGTGGTGGACTGGAAAACAAATTCAGTCAGTTTGGTGCTTTTAAATCAAATGTCTGTTGAGATGCCTTGGAAATAAGATTCACACAGATGCTGAAATGCAACTACATTGAAAAGAAGCTCACTGAACTCTACACACCACTGAGCTCACTTTTGTCTCTGATGCCAGTCACTCTATTTTAGAAATAGACACAGTCGATGTAATGATACCCTCTAGTTAATGAACTTCTCCTCTTAAAGGTAAATGCCCCATTTCAATTAATTTGCATCTCACTATCTTCATTTTAATTTGATGCCAAAGTCTAATTTAAAAAAGTATATTGTCTGATCTATACATGATCACGCAGACTCAAATATATACATGCATTCAATCTAATATTTTGATGTATGTTAATGATCAAAGTTGAAGAGAAAACACTCACTCCTTTTACTTCTGGTATAATTTAGCTTGGATATTTACTATTCTTTTGAAATTTGTTAGGGGAGAATCCAGAAGCCTAATGGTAATCTTCATTATCCATTCATAGCTCTAATTTCTGTTTGGAATCATTATCCTGTGTTAAAAACCCAAATTTTACTCATCTAATCCCAATCTCAAGATGAAATTTAATTTGTTCATAAGTTCAGGTAAAACTCAAGACCTTCACCTAGATCAGAAATATCAGTGCTGTAGGCTGCAGTAGAGCAGGTCCCTATAACAATGAAAAGCAATATTTTACCTAAAAGTATGACTGAATTTGCTGCTGTCCTTGTAGACAAGTTAACTGTCAACTTAAAAACAGTTGGTCTGATTTTAAAGAGACTAACCCTGAGCTGGTCAGCTTCAGTTACAGGATATACTTGTCAAAGGGAGACATTTAGTCCTCAGAACTCTGCAGCCATTTTGTTCTCTATTTTTATGTCCTGAAAATGGCCCATATCTTTTTGATCTGACCACTTTTGATCTTGGACTCAACTCTATTTTCCGTAGTTAGTCTTGCTTTTGATTTACGTATTTAAACCTGTCATATAAAGGCTTCTTTATTTCTTTTTTTGTCTGTTTTTTATTCATTTACTATGAAACATTTAGCTGTTTTGAAATGTAAAACCTGCATTGATGTTTTTTTTTTATGATTAATATATTAAACCAGAATTACTTCAAAGTTCATTGATAGCTACTAGAAATGTGTTTGGCTTCTCTGCAATGTTATAAAGACCATTGTTGAATATTTAAATCAATGTGTGTGTACATGCTGGAACCTGGAAGTGTCAACTTTGCTAGATCCAAAAAAACACTGTTTGTCCAGAAAGGAAAATTGTCATTTTTATTGTTCATGTTACAATTTTCAGAGAAAATGAAAAATGTCCCACTGGGAAGTTATTTACATAAGTGCATGATAATGGCCTTAATAAAAGTCATTAATAGCAGGCTAATGTGAGTCAGATGTTACCTGTTCAGCAGAAGCAGCAAAGGCAGCAGGAAGGGAAACAGAGCCAGGACACGAGTGAGTGGACAGCATAATGAGGGGTGCATGGCCTGCCAGCCTGGGCAGCTGCTTCTCTAGTGGGACTGAAGTGGTGTGTGTGTGAGTGTGTTTGAGGTCCAAATATTAGCAGGTTGCAGAAACCCACATCTGTTTTTAGAGAGTAACATTCTCTGGATACTGATTTCTTATGAAAC